TGCAATCGATCGAAGGTGCTTGTTGATCATGCCCATGATGGAGTTGCATCCATGGTGTGTCATACCCATTTCAAAGACTCCATACAGTACAGTCGGCAAAACACATTGACGATATAGCTTAATCCTGGCTTGGATCGGATGATTCTTGTCCAGGAGCCACCTGCGTAAAATGCGAAAGCATGTCTGCGCGGCTGTGAGACGTCTTCTGATCCCATCAATTTCCCATGCCCTGTACGAAATGATGGCACCAAGGTACGACGTTTTTGCAACCAGCGGCACAGTGATAGCCATGTCAGGCAATCGTAGCATGGGGCCATTGGCCGATCTGCTAATCCAACTTTTCTGGAATGATGGAAGTGCCTTCCCAACAAGTCGAAGCATGGCAAAGTTCTTGTGAGGATTGATCTTCTCAGGCCATAAGCGCCCAACACCCTCATCAGGAAGGAAAGGTCATGCATGGCACGAAGTCCATCAGCTGGTGAATGGACGATCCACCGCATGTGAAAGTCATCTGCATACACAACGAGGTGATCTATGATCCATGCGTGGTCATATTGGGCAAGTAAATCGTGGAGGATTAAATACATGGTGAAGTTCCAAAAGAGAGGAGCATCTTTTGATCCTTGTTTAATGCCTCCAATTGCTTGGATTTTCCCTACAACTTCCTTATGAGGAATGAAATATGTGTGGGGGGCTAATCATGAGTGCACTAACGATTGAAGGTCACTCGAGACATCGAAGGCATGGAGAGCCCTAGAAACAAGCTGTCGACTGATTGTGTCAAAGGCCTTTTCCATGTCCAACGAAATTTGGAGGCCTCCCCAAAGACCTGTTTTGTCATCGCTTTTACGATGAACAATGCAAAACTCTCTCACCTGTCTGCAGTGTTGGGACACCGTCAGGAGACAGTCTCGTGTTCCTCGGTGAGGCATGTAGGCGTACATGGGCATCTGTCGAAGGGAGGCATGAACATGGTCAAGCAACAAACGGCAGTGGATGCCGGACATGACCTTGTTCATCGGGTGTTGAAGACAAATCGGTCTTAGTGCTTCCGGTTTATTAGGTGTTTTGTTTGGTTTGGCAAGAAGATGAACCCAACCGGTTGACCAATATGACGGTGGTTGACTCTGGGTGCAACACCATGCATGTCGAATACATGGAAACACAATTGGTGTGAGTATCTCGGCAAAGTGTCTCCAAAGCAAAGCTGGAAAGCCATCAGGGGCCAGAGCTTTAGTCACGGGAAGGTGTTGTAGTTCATAAAGAACATCAGCCTCAGTGAATGGCAAGCGGGTCAGGGCAGGCGGAGTGGGTATGGGTGCTTGTGAGTCCGTGAACAAGTCTTGAAAGTATTGGGTCAATCGTTCAAATTCTTGGGCTTGGGACAACGGTGCACCATACATATCAAACATCTGTATCCGCCTGAACGTCTGCTTGGGGCACAAAGTGCGGACTCGCTTGTACCAATCATGCAGTCTATTCTGAAGGACAAGCGGGACACTCCCTGCAAGAAAGGTATCTAATCGAATCCTACGATTGTGTCTGCTCTGACGACGAATGGCATGATGAATCTTCTCGAATCTAATGACATAGGATCAACCCCGGAATATGGCCTGCAATGAGACAGAACGTAGGCGGAGCAGTTGTCGTCGGGCATACCATATTTGAGCTGCCAAGGATTTGACCTGGGAGCACATCTGACGAGGCTGACTGACACGTGGGAAGTGTGTTTGGCATAGCTGGCGTACAGCCTGTTTAATCTGGATACATGTGGAAATCGGATCACACGTCTCCTGTGTGGTGGTGAGTGTGGGCACTGTGGATATGACTTCAGATTCGAAGTGTTGCCAATTCTCAGTCTGTGATTGAAATTCAAGCCTCAATCGATGGCGATCGATCGAATTAATGGGAGGGTTGATCCTTGGAGGAGCAAACCATTTAGGTAAGGACATGACCAGGGGGTGGTGCACAGGTGCACAGCATCCAACAGTTCGTTCGAACCGAGTCAGCACCTGGGCACGGTGTTTGATCCACTAAACTTGATGGCGACGCACAAACATGAAATCGATTCGACTGGAATGGTCGCCGTATTTGAATGTTGGAGTCCAGTGATGTTGACTGTGAACAGCAACTAAGTCCAATTCTCGAATCATGGTTTGAAAATCATGTTTATCGCACTGGGTGGCCTGACCATATTTAGGATCAAGGGAATGCACATGAGGTGCATCTGCAGTCAATGGGGTGTTGCAATTACCTGCAAGGAGCAACATATGACTTTTCGGGAGATGTCGAATGCATTGTTTGATGGCTTCAAAAACCTTCATCCTGTCATGGAGAAGTGTTTGATGATCTTTCAATGAGCTCCAGGAGTGCTGGTAAATACAAAGAATATCGTGAATGTGGGTTAAATGCAGTCGGACATGTATGAGCCTGCCTGGACACAGTTCAGCCCATGCCAATTGGTCAGGGCGCAACAAACATCGACGGATCATGCAAAGAACAATGGCACGATGGCCATGTGAGTGCAGCATGTACCAATCACCTGACACCCATTGATTGCTGAAGCGCCAGCCCGTTTCCTGCAGGATAGCAACATCGTACGAGGTCTGTGTCAACCAGGGCACCCACTCGTCCAGCAGAAATCCGTTGGAAGCGTTCCAACAGAACACGTTCAATGAATCAGCTATTCTAGTCGGCGGAGATGTGGTCTGTACCTTCAAAGCAGGTGTACAAGTCTCCTGTAACAACTATTGACGGATCCGGAACGGGATATTAGAATATCAAAAATCCTTTCCACGATATTATATGCAGCCGAAATTGTAGGCCCGCTTGCAGGCTCGGTGAAAGGCTCCTCTTAATTCGTTTGTATCTAGATGGATCCATAATTAACCGTAACGGCCTTCCCGGGAATATACCGGCAAAATATTAACACTTACGCCACTAAACGAGATCTCAATAACAACCCTCGCGCCAAGCATAGAATTTCCAACATCTATTATAAATCTAAATTAAATCATACCCCCTAGATTTAAGACCAAATATCTCAGCGTACCAAAAATCAAAATATATAGTAGCCACCAAAATTTCATCAAAAATTTGAAGGCAATCAAAGCACCAGAAAGGTAAAAACATATACGAAAAGAAGTACGGAAATAATTACCAGGCTTAAAGCTAAGATACGCGCTTTAATATCTAATCAATAATATAATTTATATTGTATAGATATTATTATCATATTTATAAATTTGAGCGGGGAAACACGAAAGGTAGAAATGGACCGAGTAACTGTCGGGACCTTTTCTGGTAAGAGACTGTCTCCGGTGTTTCAGGAACGTGCCCCTTGGTCAATCAAGCATAAAACCAACAAAACCAGAGAGCACAAGAAGGCATAAGAAGACTCAAGAGGAATATCGTTACGGTCAAATTACGCCACACGGCTCTGCAGAGAGGCTGCGTTGTGTTTATGTCTAGGTGTATGAAAATAGGCGCGCGTAAAAGTCGCAATGCGTAAACGCTCGCATGTGTACCAGCTATGATCCCACAGCTGCACGCACTGTGTCAGGATTACAGGCCTGCGCGCGTTGCGTCGAAGCCGCAATAATTCAATAACCAACCCCCCTTGTAAAGATAATGCTAGAAGGATGCGGTCGGTACTGCCAAGATAGACGTCGCATTATTTCGCCACACTAAGGTATAAAGCTGAATCGAATGGTATTCCGCGACACGAGGGATTCTTTACAGAGAGGCTAAGTTACATCGATGCTCGTTGGTGTCGAGCAATATAGTCTATAATCGTAATATACGTTGTATCAGGCTGCCGGGTGCGCACGCGCGACATCGAAGCTATATTATACGATTTTATTATGCAAGGTTCGTGCTATATTACACAACCTCAATGCATAATTTCCCCTTATATCCAGAATTTAATAAAAAAGGAAAGGACGAGGAGGGAACGAGAAAGGAAATGGAGGGGAGGAAAAGAGGGGGATCGAATCAATTAATTTATTAATTATAGGGGGGGGATTGGGAGTGTTAGATATTAATCTACCAATCTTTAGTCCCGAACAAATTTTCAAACCAATTCCTTTGTTTCGCAAAATAAACTCAAAATACCCCTTACCAAGCTACCTTTCGTGATAATATTTATCATTTAAATAATTAATAATTTTAAATTACAATCATTTGGATTCCAATATATTTATATGTTATATTCTTTTTAGATTTCTGCTTCATTTGTTTGAATATGATACCGCTTTGCGGATCAATTATTTCCAATTGCAAGCATCATAATTGCTGCCTAGATTGAGATTGTTCCAGCTGAAGCGCTTTTTAATGAGCCCCTCTGAAATACAAACTCCACCTTCGTCACCATCTCCATCCAATTACAGTATATGGAATTGTGCGACATGCATCAACATGCACTCTACACCTACATGTTTGAGGCAGGCGCTGCAGCAATCAGCTGGCATGTTGCGATCTACACCAGGTCCCCTGCTTCTGATCATTTTGCAATTGGGAAAAACATCTCATGAAACCTGGCTGAGGACCTGGGATCTGGCATAGCAAGCTGGGAAAAAAGCTACAGTAAATGATTTGACAAATTATTCCTTCTCTGCTCTTGTAGGAGCCCGGTTGAGGAAGCCTCTGAATGTCTTTGGACATCTCAGATTGCGTGTAAGTAAAGCGTACTTTACCGTCCACAGCGGTACAGCTACTCAGGCTCCTTCATCATCTTCTGCAGCTCATCACGCTGGGCGGCGTGGATCGAGGACACCATATTTATCTTCTGTACTTGTTTTCTGATCTCAGGGACAGCTAGTAAGCGAGCACAGCACAATGTCATTTGCGAAAAATGGCGGTCCGATCAAACATTTTGGTGCGGCTCACCCAGCAAAATTTGGACGTTCGTGACTGGACTGGGCGAAGCGATGTCCGATGTCCCACCGAGGCGGTTCCGGTGTCCCACGGCAAGTCCCACACCTCTTGCAGCAGCCGCTGGTACTCTCGCTCCAACTCTGTGATCTGCGCAAACGCCAACTCTGTTCTTGTGTCTCTCAGCATGTTTTGTTGAAAGTCTGCTAGAATCAACCCTAAACACACATTCAATTCTTGGGCCCTCATACAAGTTGAGCACCTGGTCACCTAACTTCAACTTTGAAGATCGAAAGACCCCTGCAATGGCCCACAGAAGGAAGACCTGCCGTCCTGGAGCATTGATCAAATGGACCCGATGCGTGAACACATTAAACCTGTTAGTACAGCATGGAGACTCAAGCACTCATGGCCCACAAGTGCTTCCAGCACTCATGGAGATGTTCGACACAGGTGGCTTTTCATCATCGGTTGTTGCTTGCGACACAGTGGCTGAGCACATCTTTTGGCATTTATTTTGTTCTCCGGCGCTCATCTGTACATGGAGCGTGTTGCAGGCACCAGGATGCCACCACTCTGGAGCCTCAAGCTGAGAATTTAGTGGCCAAAACCGTCCTTCTGCTGATCAAAGGAAGACGTGAGGTAAAACAACGATACAAAGAGCCTGCCACATATCTCTTGAATGATGACAATCATCTGTTCAGGCGATGTCACCCGTGAGATTGCGTTCTTAACCTAAAATGAGTAATTAAGAAAGCTTCTCCATATTATCTAGGAACCAAATCATTAGTGCTACGGCTTCTTCAAGGAAGCTTCCCCCCTCCCTCAGGCGGGAGCTTCCTTGAAGAAGCGTGAGCTATGCTGCGTCCATATGTAGCGTCTTAGTGGCCAAACGCAAACTTCTAATTAAGCAGGAGCGGGCAAAAAGGGAGGGCAATGAATCCTTGTGATCCGATACTTGACCGTTACAAATCACAGAAGTCGCCAGAAACCGTGCCTAGACCAACCAAATTGGTGGCGCCAGGACGGCGACCTGGCGCCGGAAGGGACGAACGAGTGGCACGAATCCGTGGCTTTTCATGTGTGCTTTTGCTTTTCCTCGGCGCTCAATGGTTTGAATAGGTTCCAATGGGTGCCACAAGTTGTTTCTCTTTCACTTTTGCTTGAAATACGGTAGTCGTCATTTAACTTATATAAGTACAGGCAAAATCAGTCCCAACGTCGAACATGCACAATGAGTTTATGCCCACTGCTTGTTCTCCAGTCTTTCACTCATACTTGCCACACCGAAGCGCGCCCTCCTGGTGAATATCATCCATGGACACGGAGATGGTGCCAGTCAAGGGGTTCACCGTGATGTAGCTATGGGTGTTGCCGCGGTTCTTGAAGGTGCCCCTTAGCAGTCGCTCGTTTCCCGTGCCGAAAACCCCACGCCTGCGAGGTGGAGGGGAGCATCAACGAAGCTGGACTGGAGCTGCCGGGATTCTTCGAGGATGAAAAACCCATGCCCATTCTAAAGCAAATCTGTTGAACCAGCATGCTTCAAAGCAGAAACACATCTCATATTGACCAAAGCCAAAAGGATCCAAAAGGTGACAAATATCTGCACTCTCACAAACTGTGTTGTTTGTGTCTCACCGATCTGCAACCCATTTTAGCAAATATAAAAGCTGTAAAACTTGTCTTCCATCAGGTATCAATACCTGTGGATTGCAGTTGCAGGTCTTTCTGATTTGACGAGCAACATGCGGAATGCTAGGCATCACTTCACGCAAAACAATAATGATGGCCATGCAAAGCATCAAACACCGTTCTGGTGGAGCCCTCCCACCTTTTGGAGGGCCGGTTCCCTCAAAGAATGAGAGGGTCTTGGATGGTCTTAGGGCCCTTTGGAGCTTTCTAGTTCAAGAAACATCCAACAGCGAACACTGTAAACCCAATGGACAACTTCGCAAAGCAAGGGACGGCAGCACACTGGCCACCAGTTCCCCATCAGGAGCAAAGACTGCAACACGCTCATTGCCCGTGTCCTCTCGCGGCATCATGGCTGCATTGGCCGGAAATTCCAGAGTTGGAGGAAGCAACCCCCGGGATTTCTCAATCCTTTGGTGACATTTCTGGGGAATCCAACAAAACAACCTGGCGAGGCACTGCAGAAATACTGCGGAAAATATGGTGAACATGCATTCAACACATTCTCATTCGCATTCAAACAGTGTCAAGACAGGAGCAAGGAACCCCTATCGCACACAGGTGATTCTGTTGGCTTCTAAAGTACTTTCCATACGAAGTGGCGAACAAGTTCTTGCAAACGGCACGGCGGGCATGCGTTCGGTAGCATTTTCAGAATCCTTGCAAACCGGTCTCGCTCAAAACAACCAGCATCCAATATCTCCTCAAAGTAGACTTACACGGAGTTGGTGCGTTGTCCAAAAATACCTCCAGTTATATATATATATATACACGCACGGACTTCCGCAAGACTTACGCACATGCAAGCTTTCACTTGCGTGAGCACCGATTGAAAACAATCGGATCATGTAAGCTGCTGTCCCCGGGTGAATTGAAGGATAGGATTGGGTTCGGCAAGTGCCACGAACTCAATCTGGGCACCAAGGACACACCGGACAACACCACACATTAATTGTTTTGGCAAGTTTGCCAAAAATGACCTTAAGCCCTGGGAAAAATTCAATGTACACTCCTTCTTCCAACCGTGGAATGTTGCATTGTCCATCCACAGTACAGCCATCATTTTGTGAAAAGACCTTTGTGAGAACAGCCTGCCAAAAACATGGCAAGCAGGGCAAATCTTACACTCTTGTTTGGACCACAGGTTTGGTACCCTTTCTTGCGCAGCCTGCGACAGTAACGCAAAACTTGCCATATATATATATATATAGTGTACATAAGCGCAATTCGCTGGGATCAGACGGATCAGAATTTCAGCAGTTCGTCTTATTTCCAATGTCCTGTAGCTGTTGCCGTAGACCAAGAAAACCACATGTTGAGGGACAATAATTGATTGGGTCAAGTCAAGTATTCAAATTATGTTCTAGAAAGACACATAGTTTTCATCGGCCCCAGCTTCTCACTCCTATGATTTTCAAGGTTTGCTTGCAACCTGCTACTATGGTGCATTAAGATTCTATTTTTCTTGTGCTTTTGTACATCGTTCCTTTTTCCAAAGAAACTACTTAAGGACCGAGATTAGCCAAAGAGATTTTGGAATAGAGAGGGGGAGGCTGTGTGGGGAAGGCGTGGGAAAAAGGATATATATATATATAATTTTGTCTGGAAATCATAGATTTCCAATATACTGGGATCAAATGACTTAGGTCTATGCAAGATTCCTTTGTCATTTTGCCTGAGTGTCATTTGTTTTTAGCCTCTTTCCCCTGCCCTCCCCGGGAGGCATCTGCTCTCCAAACGGTCTGCTCGGAGCCCACGAAAGATTCCTCGTTCCAGTTTTGCATGCATTTTACGGTAAACTATTTGCGCCAGTTGAATGAACATGAGTCAATATAACGGACCAGGACAGATCCTTCAACCGCAATACCTGCTTAATTGCCATCGACGCTGCGTCAAAGAACTTCTAAATTTTTGAGTACACGTTGCTGTATTGTGCTGCAAGCACTGAGTGTTTACTGACTGTAACAACTACCTTGTCAAGACCAAAGATCCAACTCTGCATTGCAAGCGACCAAGAACCCTCACCCTGCAAACAAAACAGCTGATACATATACATTGGATACGCCAAACTATTGCAAAACGCTTCAGCACACGCATAGAAATCCTTTACATGGCACACAGTACGTAGCAGGAGATCCATTGTAGTTGGAATAGTCTTGCAAAGGTTGAAGTTACCATGATGCACTGTAGGGGCTATAGCGCACAAACTATTTTGAATGAATTCCTACACACACAATTTCATAATGCTTTGCCCACCTGTACCAGGTGCTGTTTTACATTCACATGCAACTAACAGGCAAAAGCCATTGTGTGAACATGCTGGGATTAATTACACCACATGAAACCGCTTCTAAATTGTTTGCTTTGTTTGGCTGTGTTTGCTTTCCTCCTCTAGGTCCAAGTTAAAACCACTCATTTCCAAGCGACTCGGGAGTCTTCAAATTCTTGCTCTTTCAACGTGGCAGCGGGCCTGTCTTGGGAAGGAACCTGTCGTCTTGGAAGGCCCTTGATGTCGCTTTGGAAGGCCAGGGGCGTCTCTGAAGCGAGACATTGATAAAACACATCTCGCATCCTCCCGCCATTCCAAGTGCCTCTGCAGTTGTTTCTCCAACTTCATCGGACTGTTTGTTCATGTTTGTTCCGAGTCTGATGGACATCTGGGAGTGTCTGCTCCCTTGACCCAGGGAAGCCGGAAACCCTCCCTCCGCAGTCCATCACCAGCACGTTGCCACAATTGTCCACCGCCACATCGTTGGGAATCTTCAACTCGCCACCTTGCGTGAAAATGCTTTTAGATTGGAGGCCATCGTCATGGATGGCGGGATAGATGGCATTGACCAAGTGCCCAACCCTCAGAAACAGCCTGGCTTTTGAGTTAGGACTTGACAGCTGAAGAATTTGGCGTGCTATACAAAGACATGTATACGTATATATTATTGTCTATTGACAATCAATGTCGTCTTTCACCACCTTTCCATTGAAGAAACACCTACTGCATCAACAATAGAGGGTTCCTCCCACTCTTTTCCCAACAAGTGAGCTATCCCCCAGTCTGATAATCGCATGTATTCTGAAAAAAACATCACCTGTGTACATTTGATATGGGACAGGTAACAGTTCTCTTGCCGTTGTCAGCCTCGTTTGCCCTAGTTGTAACTGCGCTCGAAGAGTTCCAGAAAATGGACTTGTTCCCAATCCTGTAACACAAAGTGACCGCCGACATAGGAAACCGCGTGTGTGCCTACTAGTGGAAGAAAACTGAAGTGCCCATCACATCACTTGCTTGCGGCTCAACATGCCTCAACAAGCAGAAGCTTGGTCGTTGGTCCTAGTCGCTGATCTAGACCCCTAGTCGCTCATCTGACCTTTTCTCAGTTTTCTCGAGCTTGTGATTCTTCGTGGGTATTTTCACCTGCTTTGGAGTCTTCAGTTTCAAAATGCTATCATCTTCATACATCTTCATCCATCTGCCCCATCTATTATCATCTATATATTTCTCCAGTTCCCCCCATCTGCCCTCCCCCATCTTCATCCAGCTTCACCAATCGCTGGTCCGCCTCCAATGGTGTCCAATGGATTGCCCTCCAAATCCAGCACGCGGACCTGTTCGGCTCAACCAAACTGTGGCAAAGGAACTTGGATCTAGGAGCCCACCCTGGATTCTTGAATATGATAACGAGGAGGAGGAGGGAGGAGGAGGAGGACTACGATAATTCAGCATAGCGGGATTACTTCCGCACTGGGGGAAGCCCAGCCCCAAAGAATAAGCCCAAGCACGTAACTTTTTCATGGTTTCCAGCTTCCAAAATCATTAGGTCCAGATTCTGCTGTAGAGCCAGCATGTGAGAACCCCCTCCCAAAGCTCTCACAAGAACATGGACATCAAGAGGCATTGAAATTCACTTGGGAGTCATCAAAGGCATTTCAGACTAGGTGCACTTCCAGTCATGAACTTCTTTCAGTCAATCTGAGTGTTTCACCTAAACAGCAATCGTTTCTTTGGATATTCAATATAAGTGAATCGAATCTCAATCCAAGTCCAGTGAAGAGAGCGGACATTTAGTAGCCATTGATCCAATGGTTCCGAAGACAAAAAACAAGAAATAACTCCAAGGCCCTTGCATTCACCCACCTAAAGTCGTCCTCAAATGGTGACCCCTAGCACCTTAAACATCTTACAAGTAGGAGCCACCTACTCGCATGCCAGGGCACCTACTAAAGCAACTCTGCCACCTACATCGCATGCCCTTCTCTTCTCTTCTCTCGGCCTCGTTGGCACCGCGGTCGGCCACGAAGAGGCGGTCGTCCGTCACGCAAAGGCCACAGGGATGTTGAAAGCCGTCGAAGGTGGTCACTTGCTCACCAGTCTCAAAGTCGAAGACAACTGACGAAACGAGTCAGAGCCGTCATGTGCTCCAGACAGTCGACAGTCTGCGACGTGACTTTGGGATCTATATACATCAATGATCGATGTGATGTGATAGATTTTCACAAACACACAACATACCTATGCACACCCTTGGGAAAAGGGCGACAACATGTGAAGTACCTTTGCACTGATGTTCTTGTGCCGAACATTTCTGGGGACCCTTGCAAAATCCCTAGAAGGAGTTGAAGAAGTGACAAATGAGGGATCTCATTCTCACCCACTTCAACGACCGATTCACTCCTCTTCTGCACCCTTCTGGCCTACGGACTTCGAACGCTTCTCTCGAGCTGCAGAGTCGCCAGTTCGAGCTGCAGAGTCGCCAGTGGTCCAGCAGTGAGAGAGGTAAACACGACCTGCCAGTTCTCGAGTTGCTCGGAGCCATTGGTGAGCCACAACAAGATGGAGCCCACGAACCCGAATGCAAACACGTTCAAAAAGCTACATATGTCCAAATGACACTCTTGTAGGACACTCCTGTGGGACACTCTTGTGGGTCACACTTGTAGGAAACTCTTGTGGGAC